CCTCTGGCTATCCCCCAATCCAAATACACAACAAGAGAGTTTATTAATGAAGACTATTATTTTATTAACTTTGAGAGAATATATTTGATTAGTTTTATACCCTAAAACTCTGTAAGGTATGAAAATATTAATAAATCATGCAATGAAAAGGACAAGAGTTCAGGGGCTTTTTTTTTTCAATTCAGCAAAATATTTTTTTAGTGCTTAGATGTTTGCTACTAACACAACCAAAACCTCAAACTAGCTCTAGGAAGGAAAAAAAAAACACTACAAAGATTGTTCAACTGTCATTTAACATGAGCATAGACATTATAAATTCCACAGACATTTGTGATGGTCAGACTCTGATGTGTGCTGCCCAATGACAGCATGTTCTAATTTCTTCAGGTTTGGCTGAATGAATGGGAAGGAAAAGAGAGGTCATTGGGCTGGCATTCAGAACCTGTTTAAATGAATAAATTAAGTGTAAAATGAATTAAATTTAAGTGTCCTACACAAAAAGGGAAAGCAACTTCTGGGCATATAAGTCAAAGATATCATTTTGGCAGCCCTGAGTAGTAGAAAAGATCACCCAGCCTACCAACCAACCAACAAAACTTCTGAAATAACACTACAGAAATGCTTTTTTTTTTTCTTTCAGAAATAAAGAGAAAATTTTCATTAAAAGGAAGACTTTAGATTACACAATATTATACGTTAAAGGGGGTTAGTATTCTGTGGAAGAGCAAGGCGCGGTGCTCTGTTCCCGCCCCAGCTGTAGGCAGGTCGTGCTCTGCCGCTTTCTGTTCCATTTATCTTCTAAAACTCAGTACGGGGGGAAAAGGTGGAACACGATAAATGAGTAAAGAAAAGCTCCGCTGCTTTTGTTAGAACAAAGATATCATCTTGACCGGGGGAAGGGTGTGACCCTCTCAGCAGAAATAATCTCATCTTGCCTGCTGCGAATCGAAGATGTGAGGATGAGGAACGGCTCTTTGCATTTTGCGGAGTTGTTGTATTGTACTTCATTGAGTTTCTTAATGGCTGTGGTCTTCTGGGTTCCATCTAGAAGTAATGTGAGTGGATATTTATTCTTCCACTGTTCTCCAACAAGGAAAGAGTATAAAGATATTAAATGATCTGCCAACATCAATGAGGATCAGATCTCAAACCCACCATCTGGGTCTTCTCTCTTTTACAATACTCATACTGCCTCAATAAGCTTCTATCACTTAGAAAATTCACTAAATGTATATACATGCTTACAAAAAAAACTGCTTTTTCGTTTTAATTATAGCTATCAAGATCTGCTTTTATATTTGGTTAATAACATCTATTTGTACAAACTACATAACAAGTAGATACATCATAAGCAAAATAAATTGAATTTCATTAATATTAGATTATTTGCTAAACTTAATTCTCACACAAAAGCAGTGCAGTTTAATGTTTAAATGCAGTGCATTTATCCACTTAATTATTGCCTCCAAAAATGATTCAAGCAGCTGCCATATTCTCGACAGTGCACTAGGTACAATGGGTAGGTATCACAGGAAACTTCACTCTAGAATTAAAACCAGGTTTTAAGATCTCTTCTCTGTTACACTTTACATGACACTAGTAGTCCTGTTAGTGAAACTCTTCAGCCATAATTGCTTATTTAGATTCATCTGTCATAGAACAAAGTAGATAAGGTTCTTATCTTTGTGGAAATTATACTCTAATAATAAACAGACTGATGTCCTGAGTAGCTTTTCTTTCTTAAGTTTGTTTTCACTGGTGAAAGAATCTTGTTCATGTTCTAGGGGGAAAGGAAGTGCTCAGATGTGGATTGTATTTCTCTTTTGTCTATTTCTAGTCATGTGGTCTTGTTAATTCATATTCTCTTTATTTTTTTTTCCTATTTAGGACAATTTTACCACATTCATCCAAAGGTTTTAGAATATATTATCTCATTGCATGACTATGTATTAAGCTGAAAAATGCTGGTATTAACATCAAAGTTAGGTTTTTATCAGAAAGAGAGAGAGGCTTTTAAAAACAGTTGTTTGCAGAGCTTCTGTACTGGAAGCTAAAACGTCCCTGGGGTGAAGCCTGGAAGAATCAATCCAGTACCACTTCTGGTTTCTACCCCATGTTTGTACTAAAAGGGGCCACAGTGACCTGAAAGTCTAATTACCCCTCTCCAAATGCCTGTTTCTTGTGCTACTGGTAAGAAAAAGTGGGAATAGTTGGTAACCATCCTCTCAATCAGACTCCATAAATAATCTATTTCTTCTGTGCTATGTTGCAGAAGTTAGTGGACACTTGAGAAGAAAAAAAGTAATGCCCTGAAAACTTCAAAGACAGCAAGTCAGGTTAATGAAAAATGAAAAAAAAAATACTGAAGCCAATATAAACGAAAGCCAAGCATCTGGCTGTGCCCCTTATTCACAGCCACCCTTAGACTTAGATGCACAGCCACCCCTAGACTTAGAAATGACTCACCCATCCTGACCAGAAGAAGGGCTGCAGACAGTTCACATTATGGATTCTGAAGAACATGGGGTTGCAGTATACTATAGGAAAGTTAAATGGGCTGTGGGTTCACATGAAAGAGCAGAGAAAAGAAAGCTGCAAAGTGAAAAGGGGAGTTAATGTAAACAGCCCAAGAAAGAGGTGAGAAGACCATCGCTAAGGGGGCAGTAGAAAGGGTGGTCTGCTATAGGGAGGAAGTGTCTGAACACAATGGATCTGGAGGTACAAGCAGGCAGCCTCAAAGCAGGTGGGTTCAGGTGCCTGCCTGACAGTGTCAGTAAAGCCCTCCAGCACCGAGGCCTAGGGTAACCCAGAAAACAAGAGATGCTTTCTACCAGGGCTTCTCATCTTGTGAAACACTAGCTGCAGAGTCATTTTAGAGGGAACAAGTACAAACAAAATTCTTATAAAATGTGTTATTGCTTAAAACCCAATCCAGAATACTGGAGTCTCTTGAGTGAATGTATGGTATTTGGTATCTTCATGAGTCTTAGAAATAATTAAAATTGCATTCTTTGGTGCCTTAGAGTGGATAGAACAAAGATAGCTGGACTAAAGTTAACAACCCCCCTTCTGCTAGAACTCCCCACCCCAGATTACAGATATTGGATTAATCTTGATAGAGACTGACACTAGGATCTTCCCATGGGAGGTCCTGGGAACAGGGCACATCCTCTGGCCAGAGTGATGTTTCTGTCTGTCTTGTAGTCTGGTGACTGCCTGCCACATTGGTGGTAAGGTGGATGCGAACTTCAAGACTGAGGCATCATCTCCATCTTCAGCACAGTAGCCTTCAGAACTCAGTGTGAGATCAAACAAGTCTGCCCAGGAGAGAAGAGTGAAGGTTTTTAAAACCTCATGTCAACCAGACAACACTAATCAAGACAATGAGATCACTGTGCTAGGTGCCTAAGGCAAAATACTGCATTTTTCCTGTTCGAATTATTATTCAAGTTGCACGCCCAAAAGCAAATTTATGAAGAGAGTTGTGGTGTAGAAATTTTCAATTAACTAGAAATTTGTTTATGTGCTCATTGGATTTGTATTTTCCAGCAGATTAAGCCAGACTAAATAAAACCATGTTCAAAATCAGGAGTTCAGACAGCAATCCCTAGCTATAATTGCCTAGCTTCAGAATAAAAACTGAGTCGGAACCACTATCAACCTCCTGGTGAAACCAATTCTTTCACCTCTGCCATCCCCTCTTACAATTGCTAGTGAGTTTAGGTCTTTCTTTAATTAATGCTTCCATCCAGAGGTTGCCAACCATAAGAAGCCCGTGGCTCTGTGCCAGGCGTTTCTTCACAAAAGATGCCATCCCCCGTATTTATACCTGCAGGGTAAGAAGCTCAGCTGCACACACAGGTGAGGTGTGAACTGTCACAGAATGCTCCTTTATCCTAGTACCCCTCGCACATACGTCTGCTGCAATAACAAAAATGAAGGTCAGAGAAAGCAAACGCCACTTCCCCAAGACCTCTTCCCACGCTGTCCTCTCTCGTGGGGTGTCTCCTGAAAGAGTACCAGGACATCTTTCCAGCTCAGGTCCCGACCACCCGCCACCCCCGGGGAAGCCTTGCGGGGAGTCCACTGAGTTTCTCCTTCCTCTCTCCACAGCTCCAACGGAAAATCCGTCACGTGGGCCCAGAACGAGAAAAGCAGCCGGGGACAGCACCTGTGGCAGCGGTTGTCGGTCCATATCAACAAGAAAGAGAACCCCAACCAGACAGCGGTCATCAAGCCCTTCCCCAAGAGCACCGAGAGCCGCGGGCCGGGAGCGGGCGGCGCGGGATGCGCAGTGGCAGGTGGCCCGGAGCCCCCCGACGCGGGTCCCAAGGCGCTGTTCGAGGTGGCGGAGTCGGAGGAGCGCTTCCCCGCCGCCGCCGGGCCGCGCTCGCCGTCGCCCATCAGCACGCTGAGCCAGCGCGCGGGCTCGGCCAGCCGCACCGACGACGACGTGCCGTCGCTGCACTCGGAGCCCGCGGCGCGCAGCAGCTCGTCCCAGGGCTCTCTAATGGAGCAGATCAGCAGCGTGGTGACACGCTTCACCGCCAACATCAGCGAGCTCAACTCCATGATGCTGTCCACCGCGGCGGCGCCGGGCCCCGGGGGCGGCGCCCCTCTCTGCTCCTCCTACCTGATCCCCAAAGAGATCCAGCTGCCCACCACCATGACTACGTTCGCCGAGATCCAGCCCCTGCCGGCCATCGAGGTGACGGGTGGCGCGCAGCCCGCGGCCGGGGCTCCATCCCCGGGAACCGCTGCCCAGGAGCCGCCAGCGGCCGGAGCTGAGGCTGCGCCCGGCAAGCCGGACCTGGAGGAGCTGGTGGCTCTCACGCCGCCGTCGCCCTTCAGGGACTCGGTGGACTCCGGGAGCACCACGCCCAACTCGCCGGTCTCCGAGTCAGCCCTCTGCATCCCGTCATCTCCCAAATATGACACTCTCATCATAAGAGATTACACGCAGAGCTCGTCGTCATTGTGAACCACTGGAAACCTCGCTGGGATCTGCTCTGCGTGCGCAGCAGGAGGCCTCCGGCGTTCACGCAGGGGCGCGGCGACACCCATAGTCACCCGGTTGGGACTTGAGGTGGACGATGTCAAGTGCACCCACACTGGACACACAAGACCAAGAGTGCTATTTCACAATAACCGACGACGACGACGACTACAAATCTTGTGGCAGATTATCTTCTAGTGGCCTTAGAAAACATGGGCTTTTAAGAAGCGCTGCTTCTATATTCCGAATGCTGACCAGAAGTGGGTTCCAGCAGTTACAACTCCAAGTGCTTTGCTCTAAGGCAGCAGTGAACATGAAGAGGCATCCGGGACGGCGAGCAGTGGAGTTAATGAGCAACTGTAAACATCTTTGTTTGTTTACTTCATTTTCCCAGAAGAGTCTTTGATTTGCCAAACATGAATGTACATTTTCTAACAAACTCAAAAATCTGGGACCAAAAAAAAAAAAAGTGAACCGTTCTCTTTTTTCCTTCCTGCCTCCCCTCATTTAAAGACCTTGAAAAAGCTAGCAGTAACTCAGGCCCAGTACTTACTTAGGCTTGTTGTGAGTCTCCTGAATTACACGCAAACGGGTAGTGAGTTCCGTGCTGATGTACCTAGAGCGACTAGCCAAGACTTTCCAATAACGTTGTGAGATACTCTTCCAAAAAGCCTGCGTTTGGATTCCACCTAGTTATTTCAGATTCACCTCCATTAACCAAGAAAACCAATGGAAGATTTCTGGACTATTTCACCATGTTGCCAATCAATACTGGAGTAGCAAAAAAATATTTTCTGGAACACTGTTTTGTAATTCCCTCACTGGGGTGCATTGTGTAGCTGGAAATTCTCTTTGTAATAATAATTCTTGAGCTCTGGCCTGGCTCTCTCTTTCACGATACACAGGCACTCCTTCTTATGAATGCTGTTCCGTTAGTGTTGCCAGCTGAAATATTAAGATACGCATTTGAGCTTCCTCATCCCTTTCTTTTGTGAATCTGATTTACAAAGAGCTCCTCTGTTGTTGGGTTTTCCCCAAGTCCCACCCCTGGGAGAGTGGTCCAGAAGATGTCACAGTTGGAGGGACTGCTGTTGAAAACAAAAACATAAACCACAATCACAGTACCCGGGAAAGTCAGCATAGCAAAGATTTTGCTATGCCCATGAGCAGTGATTTTAACTTTTCTTGGCTGCTTAAATGGGGCAGCTATGAACTATGACAAATGCAGATTTTTTTCAAAGCAATACAGAATACTAAAACAGAGGAACCTTAATGAATATCAACCACAGTCTTTCTTAGCCATTCCAAAAAAGGCAAAGCAAATACTAATACTTTACTTTTTAAGGTAATTATTAAACATGGTTTTGTGCACTTCATACTGTCACTTTTTAAATACTGCAGAACAGAGTTTTAGAGTTATAAAATCCTATGTGCTTTGATAGGCTCATACAGTAGAAACCATAGCTCAAGACCTGAATCTACTGTCATCTTTCTATTTGTCCCATTGCAGCTATCCTCAGGTACCAAATGTTCTTGATTTTTAAATAAAGATAGTAATAAAAGGAGGAGGTGTCCAATAAATTTAAAGTTCAGTTGACCCAGCCTTATACTAAAGATAGCCTTATGAGAAAGATTTGCCGCAAGAAAGAAGAATATTTTTGACAGAGAAAAATTCAAATAGAACTTTAAAATTTTTATTTCAATATCTTTCTGGGTTTTTTTGGGGGGGGATTGTTTAGTTTTATTTTTTAGTTTTGCATTTGCTTTAAAAAGAACTTGAAAACTATAAGTCTATCCATTGACATAATTTGTTATTCTCCAATTTTTAAAGATGTAATAACTGTGACCTTTTTCTGACATCTGTTCTTGTTTGAAATTTTAAAGCTAATCTTCCAATATAAAACATTAAAAGATAACAATAATTTGCTAAAATATTAGTACAATTAATCAATCTTCTTAGGATTTGAAAAAAACATTATCAAAGCACCCTGCTCCAAAATACTAATGAGATTTTTGAAACAGAAAAGAAATCTAACTAATTTCCACCACTTCACTGAAAGTAAAAGCCTGCCTCTACCTGAAAACCAAATGTAAATATTTTGAAATGTTCATAACCCTGGATCTGCATCAAAAAGACGGCATTCACCTGAGGGTTGCTGTCTTGATTTCTTAGGTGTTAACATCTTTCTGAATATGCTCTGCTCTTTAACTTTTAAATTTTGTTTAATTGAATTCTTACCTTGGTTTCTGCTTTATTTTCATGTGCACCAAGTTGCACTCCTTTGACAAACAGAACATTTTAAAAAGTTTCTTCAAAACCAAATTATTTTCCTATTATTTGCATGTCATTTTTTAAGTACACCACTTTATGAGAAACTGCACTAGAAATTCAAATTTAATGCAATTTCCATCAGATAATTATTTATGGTATCAAAATAAACTGTAATAAAATAATTTATCCAATTAGAAGACAAATGAGATTCTTTTCCTCTATATTACTACAACGTTTGCCATGTCATTGAATACATTGTATATTGGACATAATATGAATAATACATCCTTGAGGTCTTTTAGTTTGGAATGATGCTAACTCTCTTTGCCAGTTCTGATGCCAGGTTTCGAGTAATAACTACAATACAAAGAGAACTGAATGTTTATTCTAGGGCTAGGATATGAACTTCATAATTCATTTGGGTACCTATTCTTACTGAATTTCCTTGATAACAACCTGTTCCTGGTACCCAGTGATAAATAAGTTGGGACCTACATGAGTAAATGGAAGGATGAAAATGCTAAAGACTAGCAAAGTGACCTGAAAAGAGAGTTTGGTACTGGGAAGGGAAAGAGAAGGCCTAGTTTGATCAAGTTATGCTGACTCAAAGGTCACTTTTCTGTTAAGTAGAGCAGGGACAGCCTGAGAAGACTGCATTTGGATGAGGCTAGAGGTGGGGAACAGGACCGGAATATGGAAAGGAAAATCATAAGAAAACTGACAGATACAAGAGGAAAAATAAAGCAAATCTCCAAATGTGCTAATCTTTGAACGTAATAGTCTTTTTAAAACGACTGATATTACCAGCAAGTGATCATAAAGACCAGGAGCTATTTCTGACTGTAAATGCAATGTATAATGGCTCTGCTGCAGTCTGTGACTTCCAAACCAGGAATTAAACACTCTTTTTAAGAAAAAAGGGGGGAAAAAGAAAAAAAAAATTTCCTGTGCTAGTCTCCCAGCAAAATGTACATGGTTTGGAGACTTCAAAGTTATTATATGAGTTCACATTTAGCAACAGCTTATTAATAACCCTCAAGCTGTCAGAATCTCTATAGTTACCATTTACAATTTTATACTGTGAAAAAAATACAGATCAGTGAAAGCGTAAGATGAATTAAAGTTTGCTTCGAAGAGGGCCTGAGGCCTGGGAGAACCTCTACCATCTATTAAAGAATGAGGCATGTATAAAATAGTTGGCTGAATTTCACTGATCTTCCCAATGTGAACAAATATACTATGTATATTGTGTGTATTTCTAGAATTCAATGGCAGCTGCTGGTGGTGTTGTAATTAGAAATCTATATAGAATATAGATGTTTAGAGAGATGGTGCCAATACTAAAAGATTTGTGTGGGCTACAAGTGCTTGTACTTCCTTCTGCACTCACAACTGATTTGGTTTTAAAGCTGTGTGCGCATATCTGTTCTCTCTCTGTTGTTGCAGCTTGTACTATTAAAATAATAGAGAATGTTAAATTATTTTGATGTGAATTGCAAATGATTTTTTTCATAAATTTTAACATTTTTATCAGCATTGTTTCGCTTTGTACTTGTATAATTGTGTTTTATTTTAGCATTTTAAAATATACTTGCCTGTTTCTCACTTGTCTAAACCATAAAGTTGGTGTTTGTGAAGTCAGTTCCTTTTTGAAAAATATTAAAAAAGAAACTATGATATGACCTCAAGATTCTTCCCCTCAAATGCTTAGAACGTTGTCCTAAAAGTACTTTCTAACAATGAGAAGAGCCATGTTGTAAGCTACTCTTAGCTTCTGAATGGTGCACAACACTTGAATCATGGCAATGGATAATAAATTAAAATGAAGGTATAACTATCCACAAATCAAAGATGCTGTCCCCAAAGACAACCACATATACCTTTTAAGATACAGCTATATATTTTAAGAAAATAATATAGGGATTACACATTTTTTGTGTCTAGTCATATAAATTTGAGTACCATTTCCAAATTTATTAGTATGGATGTTGTTAATATCACACATACAAATAATGTATGTGCATATGTATGTGTGTATGTAGTAATGTACACACATACCTACACATTTACTTGTGAATCCATCTATGTGTGTGCTTATATGTAAATGTGTTTGTGTATGTATATATCTAAAAAATTTTCTCAAAAAATACCCACACTTTTAAATTTTGATTCCTAAACAGATTTAGTTAACCAATTAGTGAAAATCTAAAAGCAGACTATATAGTTACCTGGATTTACAGAAGACAATGTAGATTTTAAAATACATTCTCTCTATGCTTCCCAGCCTTGTGTGACTTACGCTCACACATAATCTATACATAATATGTCAACACATGTACATGTATTATTATACAAATTATACTTTATCTTACACAAAGGGAGACATTCTCTCTATATTTTCACTCCCTCTCTTCAGTGTGTTCTGTTCTTCAGTGGCACATCCATATAAAATTGACCTTAAAGTGAGTTCTCTGAAAAAAGTTATAGAGAAAATAATCTTCTAAAAATCAAAAGAGACCTGTGGCAATAGAATCATAGAAAACTACTCAAATCCAGTTGATATAGTAAGAATAACAGTGAATTAAAAACCAGGATATGTCACCCAAACACCATCAAACCTTAAATTATCCTTTCTCCACAATTCAGTTCATCTTCTTTAAATGCAAATGTAAGGTATCTTCATTTCTCACTTTCCTGGGACATGATGAATATTTGTTATAGAAAAGATATCACTTAAAATATTAGCATCAATATAGCATTCAGAACATAGTTAATATTCAGCACCAATTAACATATCACAATAATAGTTAACTATGTAAATAGAAACGTATTAAATTTGTTATGTTTACTCTTCTTGTTGAAACATAACAAATTATTATTAAAAATTTTCTATCAGGGAAACCTATTGAATGAATTCATATGAACCCTTTAAACTGTCTTGTGAGGAAAAATTAGTAATTTGATATTGAATATCACAGATACAATGCTTTTCTTCTTTGATATCTGCTTAAGGTTGGCCAAAATTTTGGCTATGCTATACCTGAATGAGCCTCAGGAAATAAATAATTCTCAAAACATTTGCTTTTTATGATAGATGGATAGATGGTCAAATAGGTAAATAGAAATGTATTAATAAAGCTATCTTCCTAAACAAAAGCATAGTATTTATACTTTTCTTGAGATATTTTGAAATTCAGAATGAATTTTTCTTATTTATTATTTTTTGTGTATAGACCTCATAAATGAAATATTTAAGATTAGCTCTCCAGTCATTCTTATGAATGGATGAAAAATCCTAGATGAAAAATCGTAAAGGAAAGCTCAACTTTTATGAATATAAATATTTTAAGTTTTTTTCACTCCAAGTCCAAAAAATTTATTTTTTTTACCAGAACATCTGTCTTTTTGAGTAATATGCAATGTATAAACAATCTAATTATTTTATGTACTTACATATCAACACATTTGGCTTATAAGTAACTTGTACCCTCATTTATTAACTTTAAGAAAGTGAGCTTTCTATATTAACATATCCCATAATGAGATAAATGTTACATTGTAAATTATATTAATATGTGGTGAACAGCAGTAGAAAATTCACAGAACAAAAGTTTCCAAAATTTTGAAAGCTTGGAAAGCAGAATAGCTACAAATAAATTACTGCCTTCACCTCAGAACTTACTAGTCTTTAATGTGCAACTATATACTTACTTTTTAAAATGAAACTTGTCTCTACAGGATGGAATTCCATGAAACACAGTTTGGAAGTGTTGCAATATAAATTGTGTACATTTTTTCTTTTAGTTTTCTAAATGCTTTGCTATTTCCATGAGGATCTTCTAGGACTTTTAGCTCAGAAAACTGACACAATTCAGCATCATCTCCAGGAGCCATCACACTGAACCCTGGGAAGTCTTGTTCAGTGCTGTTACTTATTTTCCTCTTGTATTCTGATTTTTTCAGCCCAGAACTAGTCATTAGCTTCATCTCCATGAGTCAAACTGAAACCTTTCCATTAGATTTTTAAATTTCATTTCTTCCTATTGTATTTGTTATTTTATTCAGAACTGTTGGCCAGTGCCCATAGCTCCAACAGCTTGAGACAAGTGATACCTAAGGCACCCTAGAGGGCATCAACAGAACACTGAAGTGCATTTAAAGGCAACAGAAGACTACCCAGGCATTACCTAGAAGTCATTTTGGAAGCTCTTTTCAGGTTCTTAGTAACTTACCTAATGAGAAAAATTAGACACATCTGTACATATACCAGTGCATTTCTACTGCTGCATCAAGATACTGATGTCAGCCTTTACTTGTCCAAAGCTGTCTACTACATACTTAATCTCTCTAGAGAATTTAATATACATCTGTGACACAGGTCATCACCACATATCCAAAGGGGCATGAATCTGTCAAAATGAATACAAAGAGAAATGTCTTATTCTAGGAAGACATATACACAGTCTAGTAGCCCAGGAAAAATAAGCAAGAAAACTGTGGCACCATCAAGGCCACTTCTGTTTCACCAAGATGAAAGAAGTCAATGGGAATATTTAATTTTTCAAAAATCCCAAATTAATTTCCTAAAGAATATGAAGGGGCAAAAGTCAAACTCCTCCTAACTGACAAAATTGGGATGAGGACCTCAAGAAACGTGTGGATGATGACAGGGCCAACAAGCACATTATGAAATCCAAAAGAAAGCATAAGTCAGCCATATCATTGGGTAATGTTATATACAAAGCCAGTACTATCAGTCAGCACAATTCTGATATATGAAGAACATTGAGAGAGGCAAATATTAACTAAACAAAGGCACTTGTAAGAATATTAATTTCCAACAAGATATAACTCAAATGGAACGTCATTAAAATAGTCAAAATGGGTGTTTCAAATAGATGAAATACTTAAAAGATGTAACAGTCATGTACCAATATGTGATTATCACTATGGCTTCAAAATTTACAAAGAAACAGAGGAGAATGAAAATAACCCTCCGATTGCGATTTTAACATGCTTTACTAACAAATACAGTAAGAAGTCAAAAGAACAAAATGAAATAAAAATGAGTGAAATCAAGTAACACA